TTTCCCAGAGCAAAAGTTTTTAATTTTTTAAAAATTCATTTATTTTTAATTAGAGAATTACTGCTTTACAATATTGTGTTGGTTTCAGCCAAAAGTTTTTAATTTTGGTAATGTCTAATTTATCAATTTTTCCTTTTATGAATCATGCTGTTGGTATTAAGTCTAAGAACTGTTTGCCTGGCACTACAATCTAGGGTTTTTTTTTCCCCTAAAAGTTTTATAGTTTTACATTTAAATCCGTGATATATTTTGAGTGAGTGTTCATACAACGTATGAGCTGTTTATTTTTTGCCTACTGATGTCTAACTGCACTAGCACTGTTTGTTGAAAAGGTCACCATCTTTCTCCCACCAAATTGTTTTTGCATATTTGTCAGATATCACTTAGACATATTTGTGTAGATTTATTCTTGGGCTCTCTGCTCTGTCCCACTGATCTATGTGTCTGTTCTTCTGCCAGTATCACACAGTCCTAATTAGTATGTGGCTAAGTAATAAATCTTTTTTCAGTGTTGCTTTAGCTATTCTAATTCCTTTTCCTATCAGATAAATTTTAGAGTAATCTCACCCAAATTCCCAGAAAGCCTTACTGAGATTTTGATAGGGACTGTGTTAAACCTGTATATAAATTTGAGAATAATTGAAGTCTTTACTGTGTTGAGTGTTGCAGCCCATGAACATGATATAGCTCTCCATTTATTCAGATTTATTTCTTTTACTAGCATTTTGTAGTTCTTCAGCATATAGTCCTGTACATGTTTTGTTAATTTATACTGAAATATTTCTTCTTTCTAGAAGCTTTTTAGATTTCTTGGGATTTCCTACATGGATAATCATGCCCCTGTAAACAGAGACGGTTTATTCCTTTTTGATCTAAATACTTTTTGTTTCCTGTTTTTCCCTTTATTGCACTGGTTAGAACTTCTACCGCTAAGTTGCCTAAGAGTGATGAGAACATCTTCTCTTCTTCACTATCTTACAGAAAAAGCATTCAGTCTTTCACCATTAAATGTAATGTTACCTGTGGGGTTTTGTAGGAGATCTTTATTGAGTTGAAGAAGATCCCTTTTATTCCAGTTTTCTGAGACTTTTCAGGGATGAGTGTTTAATTTCATCAAATGCTTTTTCTGCATCAGTTATTAGAACCATGATACTTTTTTTTTCCTTTGCTTGTTTATATGGTGGGTTACATTGACTGGATTTCAAGTACTGCAGCAGCCTTGCGTCCTTGGAGTAAATCCCACATGATCATAGTGCACAATTCTTGCTAAATTTTCTTTCTAATATTTTGTTAAGGATTTTTGTGTCTGTGTTCATAAGGGATATTGGTCCATAGTTTCCTGGGTTTTGGACTGTCTTTTTTTCTGGATACTGGTTTCTTGCTTGACAGTTTTTCTCTTTCAGCATTTAAAAAATATTGTATTCCTTCTTGTGTCTCTAGTTTCTGGCTTTAAAAAAAACAAACATTCTCTCATTTGAATAGTTTTTCCCCTGTTGGTAAGTTGTGATTGCTGTCTCTGCCCTCAAGATTTTTTGTGTGTTTGGTTTTTGCAGTTTGACTATGTTGTGTCTTGGTGTGGGTTTCACTTGTTCAGAGTTCATTCAGCTTCTTGAATCTGTAGGTTTATGTCTCTTGCCAGTTTGAGATGTTTTTGGCCTTTGTTTCTTTGAGTACTTCAGTGCTGCTCTTTTTCTCTTCTCCTTCGAGGACTCTCATGTCATTAATGTTCAGTCTTCTGGCTATAGTCCCACAGGTCCTTGAAGCTCTGTTAATTTTTTTTCAATCTATTTTCTTTCTGTTGTTCAGATTGTATAATTTCTATTATACTTGCAGTTCACTGATTCTTCCCTCTCTGCCATTCTGCTGTTGAGTCCATCCATAGAGTTTTTGTATTTTGGTTATTGTATTTTCCAGTTCTAACATTTCCATTTTGTTTTTCTTTATATATATATTTCTTAGATTGCTGAGACTTTCTATTATTTCTGTACTTCAGCTTTCTATTTTTTTCATTTGTTTCAAGCATGTTTGTAGCATGTATGTGTCTTATTTATGAAAATGTTAATATTCTATTTAAGAACTATTTTCCTCCTCATAGGACTTCTGTTTGCTCCATATTGATTTTTTTCCTGTCTCTTTCGACTCCATCTTTCCTGTAAGAGCCTTTCCTCCAATGTCTTGTAATTCTTGGTGACTGCTCACATTTAGTGGCAGGGCTTGTTAAGACCCTGAACTCCTGTGTGGAGTGATTTGGTTGGATTGTTTAGTTGGGGAGGTTTCAGTATCATGATTGAGAGGTCATTTCTCTCGGATTGGTCAAATTCTCCAGGGAAGAACCTTCCAGCCTCTGAGAACCTAGTGTGGAAAGTGGGATGGGGCTTGGGGTCCAGGCCGGGGCTTGAATCTAGGACGTGTATGTTCACTCAGGCCCCCCTGTTTTCAGTATGGCACCCGTACGCTCAGCTGTTACTGGTCCTCTGTGACTCAAGAACTGTTTTATTCTCTCCAGAGGGATATCCTCTAGTTGACTGGTTAGCTAGGTGGAGGGGAGCAGGGGACTGAGCCTTCTGCGCTGGGGTCCAGACTTTCCATTAACCCTGTTGTTAGCAGCAACCCCTCCTTTAAACACATACCCTCTTACTTGCAGACAAACCTAGTAAGGCCAGCCTGTGAGCCTTTGAGGGACTCTGAGGAATAAATTGTAATTTGTTGTTCTTGGCTTTCCCCACTGTCAACCAGGGTATCAGTTTTCTCAGATTCACCATTGTTTACCAGTTTTCTATGTTTTGGCTTCCAGAATTTTATTTTATTGCTATTATGTACCTGTTAATTTTCACAGCTTGGATGATGGCTTTAGAAGCGTGGGTGTTTATTGGTGTTGCTGTTTTGGTCAGGTTTAAGGATGCAGTAAAACAGATGTGCTCAATCTGCCATTTTCATCAGAAGTGTCATTTAATTTTTATACATTTTAAAAATGACAAATATTTCTTTGAAGTTTGAGCTCAAACTGAAATTAATTTAGAAAATAAGTCCAAAGGAGAATTGCTGTGTTTTTCAGGTGATGAAATAGAATTGGAGGTGCTGATTTGAGTAGGTGGAGGCACTAATGATGAAAGAAAAATAAGTAGAGAACATTGAGGAAAATCTTTTAGCTTGGCAGCAGAAGATTGGATTTTGCTTTTCCTTCAAGTTTTGTGGGAGATGAAAAAGGTTTTCCTGTATGGTTAAGAAAACTGTGATTTGGGAACTAGAGAGAGATGATGGTTGTACAGCATTGTGAATGTGCTAAATTCCACTGAACTGTTCACTTATGGCTCATTTTTTGTAACATGAATTTTACCTCAAATTAGAAAAAAGACTTAACCTAAAAAAAAGAGAAATATATGAACATTTTCAAGCTTACAACTATGTTGACACCTGGCCTTTGGGGGTAAATGATCATTGACTTGACTTATTACACAGGCCTCATTAAGTTATGTTTCTACTGTCTGCCTGGAGCTAGGTAGAGATTTTTAAATGTTTACAAGCATGATTTTGGAAGATCTTCAGAAATTTACTTTTCGTTTTGGGAAAAGGGAGAACAAAATGTATTCCAAAGGGTGGAATTATATCTCTCTAGTAAAGAAGCTGAAAGGAATTAATAGGTATTTAATATATACACCTCCTATATCCAAATATACTCATTGCATCTTGACAAATCTTGATGCAAGCAAGACCTTTTGACTCTTTAATCGTTTGTATAATAGAAGAAAAGGAAATTCTAGGCAGTGTGGCATTGTTCCAATGAGTTTATGCGTTTGTTGTATTGTTTATCTTTACGCTGTCTCATAAAAAGATTTAGTAGCACTTTATTATCCAAAATGTGGTATTTGGCAGTTTAGTGTGGTATACTAGAGTATATGTCCAAAAGCCATAATGTCATTGTTTAGTTGCTAAGCCATGTCCAACTCTTGCGACCCCATGGACTATAGCCTTCCAGTCTCCTCTGTCCACGGGATCTCCCAGGCTAGAATACTGAAGTGGATTGCCATTTCCTTCTCCAGGGCCTCTTCCTGATCCAGGGATTGAACCTGTGTCTCCTGCATTGGCAGGTGGATTCTTTATCACTGAACCATGTGGGAAGCCTAAAATCATAATATTGGGGTTCAAATCCTTGCTGTGCACATGTGAGTTATTTAAACTCACTACACCTCATTTTTTCTCATCTGTAAAATGGAGGAGACCGTAGAGATATTGTGATGAATATGAATTAACACATTTAAAGATCTTTCAGTGTTGTCTGGGGCAGAGTATGTACCCAGTAAATGCTATCTGCTATTTTTTTTGACATTTTCTTAAACTACAGTCTACAAAAGCACATCTGGAAAATGTATGTAATATAAGCAGCGTAAAGACTACTTCCTTATCATGATGTCATTGTTATGGCTGTAGTGACCAACTGTAGAAGCAAATGTGCAACTGGGTCCCCTTTTCTCATCACATTTGTAGTTGTGGTTAAGGGCTTAGTTCTGTTTTTTTCCTAGAAACTGAAATGGTTTTAGCTCCCTTTATTTTCTAAGCATTCTAGACTTCACAGTGCAGTGGATTTGTTTGAAAAGTAAAACCAAGAAAGTGTAAATACTGTTTACCCTCTATTTTGTTTAGATGTAATCCCTATTATTTGTACATTTTCCCTAGGAATCAGTGAAAAGATTGAGAATGAACCAGAAGAATGAACCATTAGAAGATGTAATTATAGCCAGTCAGTGGCCACAGAGAGAGCACTTGATTTTTGTAAAGTTATTTCTCCTTATCATTATTGTATGGCTGCAAGTGAATGGTGATGGTTCTCTCTCACAATTATTATTTTTAGTTGTAGTTTGAAACTCCTCCATTTCCTACAAGATGAAACTCTTATGTTTAAATGTTATCATTTTTATACTAAGCTCTCTTTTAAATTTCACTTTACAGATCAACAGCCAAAATTTTGAAGGTTGTCAACTTTCTGATGGTGGTGATAAGCCATGGCGACAGATGATAAAGTTGCCATCTTAACCGACGATGAAGAGGAACAGAAGAGAAAATACGTGCTTGCCGATCCTTTTAATGGTATTTCCAGGGAACCAGAACCACCTTCAAATGAAACACCGTCCCCATCTGAAACAGCTGCTATTCCTGAGGAGGAAATAGACTGGATAGAGAAACACTGCGTTAAAATAAACAATGATCTTCTCATTTCCAAGGTCTTTTATTTTTTCTTTTACTCTGCATATGGCTCTCTCTACCCCCTTTTGCCTGTGTATTACAAGCAGCTGGGAATGTCACCCAGCCAGAGTGGCCTGCTGGTAGGTATTCGATACTTCATTGAATTCTGCAGTGCCCCGTTTTGGGGTGTAGTTGCAGATCGCTTTAAAAAAGGCAAAATCGTCCTCCTCTTTTCTCTTTTGTGTTGGGTTTTATTCAACCTGGGCATCGGATTTGTCAAACCCGCTACCTTGCGATGTGTACCAAAGATCCCCCCGACAGCTCATCCCACCAATTCAAGTCACCCGTTCACTGTCCTGCCGACGAACTCCTCCATTGTCTCTTTCATCACCACCTCCCCAAGAATTCATGAGAAAAGGCACCTGCTTCCTTATGATGGGCCAGTGATGTCAGAAGCGGGGCCCAATGTCACAGAAACTGTCATCTTCTCGACAGCTCCAAACAAGACCAGTGCACCCACTCTGCAGCCTCAGACTGATGAAGCTACTGACCATACTGTGACCTTGCACCCAAGCACTGCAACCTCCTCTGCCCCTCCAGGAAATACAACCAGGGAGACAACCACTTCCGTGGCCACCACCACCAAGTCGGTACCTTCTGACCAAGTCACCCTTGTTTATGATCAACAAGAAGTGGAAGCTATATTCCTGGTGATCTTGGTAGTTGTCATAATAGGAGAATTTTTCAGTGCCTCCTCCGTCACAATTGTGGACACAGTAACACTGCAGTATCTGGGAAAGCACAGAGACCGCTATGGACTGCAACGCATGTGGGGCTCCCTGGGCTGGGGCCTGGCCATGCTGTCTGTGGGCATCGGCATCGACTACACCCACGTGGACGTGCTCATCGAAGGGAAGGGCTGTAAGCCGCCCGAGTACCGGAACTACCAGATCGTCTTCTTCGTCTTTGGGGTTCTCATGACCATGGCCTTGATTGTTGCTACCCAGTTCCGATTCCGCTACAGCCACTTCAAAAACAGTGACAGTAAAGGGAAGGAGGTGGAGATCCCGCAGGTGGAGAGGAACAGCTCCACGGAGTCGTCTGAGGAGACACCCACCGCCACCAGCCACTCGCGGGCCTTCAGCTTCTGGGACTTGATCAGGCTGCTTTGCAGCGTGCAGTACGGCTCCGTGCTGTTCGTGGCTTGGTTTATGGGTTTTGGGTATGGCTTCGTGTTCACCTTTCTCTACTGGCATTTGGAGGACCTGAACGGAACAACAACTCTCTTTGGGGTCTGTTCCGTCCTGAGCCACGTGTCTGAGCTGACGGCTTATTTTTTCAGTCACAAGCTTATTGAACTGATTGGCCACATCAGGTAAGATCCTGCCTTCTGTTGCTGCCTCTCAGCAGCTGAGCTTCATCTTTTCCTAGTTTCGAGCTCCTCTGAGCATGTTTGAGGATATCATCATTTGTGTTGGGGGTAAGGTTTAGGTGGGAGTGGGGATTTCTGTTGCTCTTTCTCTTTAAAATAGAAGCAAAAGGAAGGAAATGATGAACCTAGTTGAATTATCTCAAAATATGATGTTTCCCCTCTGTATGCTAACAGACTCTTAGATTAAACGTTTTCAGGTATGAAAGCACCAATTTAGTCAACTCTATTACTCCATGGACCTTGAAGGGTCTAGCTGTCTAAGGCATTTATGAAGAAGGGTTTAAGTAGATAAAGAGGATTATGTTTTTTCAGCCTTCAGTTATTCTCAGCCACTTGCTGATGCAGAAAGACCTTGAATGTATGGTGTATTGAAGATGTCTGTTATATTTAATAAGGCTGTGATGTGACCCACCAAAATCATTAATCCATGATATTATGTGGAAGAGCATCTTATATAATTTTTTCTGATTATTACATGGGTCTCTGCATTTTTATCTGCCATGAAAACATGGGATACTTAAAAATCTTTCTTCTACCTAAAATTTCCCAAGTAATCCTTTTAAGCAAAAAATCTGTAAATACCTAGTGTTTTTTATGTAATGTTTCTTACCACTAATGTTTGTCTGAAGTCGTTTGAATTGTACCTTGCTCTTTATGTCTTTCTGCTTTGCTGTTGGCTCTACAATGTGGAACCAGATACACTTAAACCTTATAGAAAAGCATGGCACGTCTGTCCCTAAAATTTGAAGTTTCTGTAATTAAAAGCAGCCATGTGTGTTTGTGTGTATGTGATAATCTTTAAATCTACTGTTTCTATGAGAAAGGAGAAATAGATACTGGCAAGATCTGAGAAACATTGATCTTTTTCCCTTTAATATCCCTTTGGTTAACTGAAGAAAAATATTTTCTAATGTCAAGTTTCAACCTAGAATTTTACTTCTCCCGATACAATTGTGACTATTTTTCCTTGTTTGATTTTGCTTTGGGAGGCTGTGTCCTGTTCCTTCTCCATCTCAAATCTTTGATCCCTTTGTTGTCGCAAACAGTCAGGCACTGTACGGAGAGCTAGCATCAGAGACACAGGCTCCCTGAGGCACACTCAGTGGGACCGGTCGGCAGAGAGCCTTGTGATATCATGGTCTGGGGTTGTCCTTTAACCTTGTTCAGGTCATGTTTATCTTCTCCGAGCTGTGATGAATTAGACTCACAGTGATGAATTTCTTCAGCTTGGTTGGGTTGTATGAGCAGGATCTCCCCTCACCTAATAGTGTGTTTAAAAACCACAGCCATTTATTCCCAGAAAGGTACTTTGTCAGGTCTTACGCATGAGTGGCTTTCCTAGACATCATGATTTAATCACTCAATAATGTTAATTGAATGTTGACTCAGTACAGAGTATGCATGTAGGTTTTATTTTCAAAGAAGTTGTTAAGGTCTTCTCACATGCTAAGAAAACTAATTTCTCTTCTACCTTTGCCTTTTATCTAAAGTATACAGTTTTATGGTAGAATCCTGGAGGGTTTACTATTAGGTTTGGTAATTACATAAACGTACACTTGTGTTTTCTTTTTTTAAGAGACAACTCATTACATAAGAACTCACTACACAAAAACTCATTACATGAATGCTAATATCTCATTATGTAAAAACGAATGACTCACTTAACCTTGATTTTCTAGTTTTACATACAAAAGCATCTTTTTTTCCTTTAATGATGTAATGGAAGAAGAAAGCTCTTGTGGTCACATTGTTGTTCCCAGAAGCCTACTGGGATTCCATCAGTTTGTGTTCATTTACTGCTTTTGGATTTTTACCCTGTTCATTGAAATGAATTAACTACTTTTAAAAGATTCTGATAGTTGTGGTGAGATTATGCCCACGTATTTAGGTAGAATGGATATGTTTCTTTTGTTGAGAATTTTTGGAGCCCGGTTAGTGGTGGTTGAGATTTGAGGGCTTAAAAATGTAGTGCTGACAGTTTTATTTTTTAATTGGGAGAATATCATGTATTAGTTGATAAACAGAAATCATCTTTCTATGAATTCATAGCCTTTATGTTTTCCTTGTAGGATCATAAGGAGAGATCTGTCTGGCCCGTATATATGCACGCATGTTTTTCAGTATTCTGTGACTATCTTATGGGGGTTTGTTTATAGGAGTCAGCGTATCCACAAAAATTGTAACTATCCTAATGTAGTCAAAAGTTGATGTATGGCAGAAACCAATACAATATTGTAATTTTTCTTCAATTAAAAATAAATTAAGAAAACAACAAAAAGAATTTTTAAAAAGTAGATTTTCATAAGTTTGTATAGGTTCATAGTGAAGAAACCATCATACCAGAAAACAATTTTTAAAACAGCCTGTCCAATTTTGAACCACTTACTATTGTAACAGTTACGCAGTTTGGGCCCCATTTCTCATTGATTAACGTATCTATACACAGAGTAAATTATTTCTGATTTTGATCTTGGATTTTGTCCCCTCTGGAAAGTGGCTGTCTCAGGCAAATAGGATAATGCTTCCTATTTCCACTAAAAAAGTAAATTTCTTTTGATTCAAAACCGTAAAACTTTGGTATTTACAGCAAGTACATTTCTAGGCTAATTTATGTAATGACAATGACTAGATTTCTTTATCTAGAAATATCAATGTATTTTAAGGCTATATTTACCTTGTTGAATGTTTCAGCAGCCATGACTAGAGTTGTGATCAAAATACATTTCAATTAATCATTTGCTTGAGCAAACTTCAGGAAATAGTGAAGGGCAGGAAAGCCTGGCCTGCTGAAGTCCACAGGGTCACAAAAAGTCAGACATGACTGAGTGACTAAGAAGAACAACAAAAATCATTACTATTTAATATAAGGCATTCACCTGTGTTATGTCATTCAAATTGATTTACACTTAAAGGGACACACAAAAATCTACTCAAGCGATTCTGACTTTGACCTGAAATTCTTATACTGAGTCAGTAGTTTCCAAATACTATCTGGAAGCGATAATATATTAACCATTAGTGGCCAGTAATTACTACTAAATAGTTGCTAAGTATTCAAATGAGTTGGCTGGTCATTTAGAGAGGAGAGAAGGAAATACAGGATGCTGCTAGCAAGAGGAGGAACACAGACATTCCTGCTGGGCGCTGCAGAAAGAGCAGGAGCAGATAGCAAGACGCCAGCCAGCAGCTGAGGACGTGCGTGCGGGACAGTGCTAGCAGCCTGTCACCGGAGGGACAGCAGTCAGCATCGGAAGGGGGAGGGAACTGCCGCCGGCCTGGGCAGGGGAGCTGACCTGGAGCTGGAGGTTTAGGATTGTGTTTGTGATTTTATTGCTTCGTATCCTCTCCCTTGTTTATGCCTGCCTCTTCGGGCCTTGTTGTTGATCCTGGACCCGTTGGCTCTTGGGGCCTCTCCCGCCTCTCATGGCACGGCGCAGGCTTCCACAAGCTGCTTCTCCCGGTCCCTGGTCTGCTGGGCGCACCTGCGGCAGTGGTGCTCGACCGTTAGACTCACACTGGGCGAGCTTTTAGAACTCCTAATGCTCCAGCTCCACCTAGACCGATTACCTCAGGCTGTCTGGCGGTGTGTACCTAGGTATTCCAGCCAGGGTGGTGACCGCCAGGCTGGTGAGAGGCCTGGGTGGAGGACGAGAGGGTGTGAGGGAAGGGAAAAACATTCCCTCTTTCGTCCTGTGTGAACTTTGGGGATGGTTCCCTTTAATCCTCTCACGTGGGTCTTGCCCCGGCGGCTTGCTCAGATGCAGGTGTTGACCGGTACTCAGCCGGAGCCTGGGGCCGCCCTCTGCAGCGCTCACCCGATGTAGCAGGAGTTCCTCCTCTGCGGTGCTCAGGCCCCGCCCTGCCTCCTCTCAACCCGAGTCCCCGAGTCCCCATGTCCTGTCAAATTGCCTCTCACCGGTGGCTCTGCCCACTGTGGGCGCTCACCCCGCATCCTGAAGACCTAGGCCTTGTGGAGGCTGTCTGCGGCTTTCTCCAGGTTCTCTGGCTTCTCAGCTCTTCCACCGTCTATCTAAGCACCCTGAATTAAAATTGGTGCCTGTTTCCCTGATTATATCCTGATGTCCACAGTCCTTAGCTGCTTAGAACTTATACTGGCAATCGCCACAACGAAGGGAAAGAATGGAAATAGAATAACTCAATTCTTGATTTAACAACAACAACAGAGGATGGACCTGAACAGTTTTTCCTTCTCTTTTCTTAATGGAATGTTATTTCTTATTTACAAAATGACTTTACCACAACAGAAAAAAATGATAAGGCTTCTTTCTCATGTTGTCATTGTTGTTCAGTCACTCAGTTGTGTCTGACTCTGCGTCCCCATGGTCTGCAGCACTCCAGGCTTCCCTGTCCTGCACCGTCTCCTGGAGCTTGCTCAAAGTCATATCCATTGAGTTGGTGATGCCATTCAACCATCTCGTTTGAAATTATACATGATCTAAAGGACTAACTATTATTCTATCGTTTAAAAATCAAAACTCTGCATACTTGTTAAGTTTAATTAAACAGTTTATTTAGGCCTGGGCAACCCAGTTTAATAGGATGCAAGGATGAACACTAAAAGGAAGGGGGTTGGAAAAGACAGGGAGATTGAAGGCCAGATGGGAGCTGGGATTAGGAAAGGAACTTTATCCTGGGTGCAGGAGGGCATTGTGGCGAGGTTCAGAGCGGAGGAGAGCCACTGGTGCTCGTTTATCTGCAATGCGGTGGGGACTTTGAAGCAGGAGCCCAGTGAGAAGGTTCCTGAAATAGTCCCGGTGAGAGACGACACAGGCCTGGAGAACAGCGGCAGCACCAGAAGTGGGGGGAAGCAGTGTGTGTGGAGGTAGAATCAGTGGAATGGTTTGATGTGAGGAGTGATGTAGAGACCTTCGTGTTTCAGTTTGGGTGCAGTGGTTCTGCCAAACCCAGGAGGAAATTGAGAA